GAAAAATATGTCAGTATCAGTCATAAAATATCTCAAGTGCTTCAGAAAGTTTTCAGCAGGAGCAAAGGACACATCAAGACAGAGCTGGGGGTGGTATTTGGTTCCCATTAAGTATTTCTCCAAGCTCCAGCAGGGCCACAGCGCTGACAGGTCCACCTCTTGTTATCAAGTCATTTTTTGTACCTTGAAGAGAAAAAGGAAATACCCCAGAACACAGTGGAAATGCTCTGGAGAATTTAATTGTCACATCCTATAAATCACTATAAGGGGAAAAATTGTTATGTGGCACTTAATAGCAATGTAGCTTGTGTGCTAGGGTAGAAGAAATTGTTCAATTAGTGATTGGCAAGAGGAATTATTTTTTTCCTGAAAGAACTTATACATTTTAAAGGAACAAGCAAAAAAATGCACATTGCTATTTTTTAGCTCATTTTCTAAGGGCAAGTTTTAAAAGAATAAACACAATTATTTACCATGTTGTACTATTACATACATATTTACATTTATATGTGAGTGTTTACATTTCTAACTCTGAAAATGTTATTCTGTTGTCTGTCCTATAAGCATGCTAGGATGCCCATCCCTCATCTGACCCTGTCTTCCCCAAAACTGTTGCTTCCATTTGTCCCATTTCTTGCCTCCTTTGCTATTTTCCTGAGGTTCCTGAAAGAGAATTAGAGGTGAAAAGCAAGTAAGATAGCATCACAAGGTCTCCCACATGATCATCTGGTCATCTCTCCACTGCGTTCCGATCAGAAATCTGAGCTCCAGAATGGATAGCGGAGCTGCTCAATTCCGCAATGCCACCACAAAGGGGAGACACTACCCTCTGCCACATCCCCTGCTTCATTCCCTTCCAGAAATTCATCGTTATCTGAAATGATCCCTTTTTATGGTTTTATGTGTATATTTATGTATATATCTATGTGTATATCTTACGTGTATATGTATTTTCAGAACATTACAATATATACAGCTGTGGATTTAGGGAACTTCGCTGTCTTATTAATATTTGTATCCCAACTATTTAAAAGGTATAGAATGTCATGAGACTGACATCTATTTATTCATTAATGAATTACAATGTTGGTGTCTTATTTATAAAATATATTTATAAATCTATACCAAATAACCCCACCAAAGGATTAATTATGATGATCTTTAATAGAATAATTTTAATCATTCTATAATTTTCAATTATAGAATAATTGAAATATCTGGATGGCTTTATCCAGCAATGGAGATCTATCTTAAACTTTACCTAACTTCTGCATTTTTAATTAACAAAAATAAATGGAAGGTATTAACATTACCAATGTTATGACAACTATAAGCTGCATGGGCTTCCGAGCCCCAGGGACATGAGGAAAGTCCATAAATTCTGCCCATCTGGGGACCGATATTACTCACTACTCAACTGATAGCCACACTGACTTTCATAATGAGAACATTACTTGAGTTGAGGTGTGGCAAGATACCCAGTTAAATATGTTTACTTTCTCAGACTCCCTCTATCAAGGAAGAGGTGGCCCTGTGACACAGTTCTGGCGCACAAGACATCAGTTGAGAGCTTCCGGTTCTTTACTCCAGATCATTCACCTTTCTCTTCCCCCTACTCTTTCTGCTCAGAACCTATCAGATGCCTCCAGCAGCATCTCTATTAGGACCATGAGGTTACCACTCCGAGACTAGTAAGGAAAAGGAGAAGTGCCTCTTGCTGTGCTGTGCCAGTCCTAGATATTTCACTGCATGACAGGAACAAACTTTGGTGTCATTTTTACTGATTTTCTATTATTTTCTGCCAAATGCTTTCCTATCTGATGTTGTTTGGAACTTACTTTCTAAGTGTATATATCTGAGGAAAAATCCTCTAGGCCTGCATTCCCACCTTTAGAATGAAGGACGCAACGCAGAACTCGGCGATGTTTTCCGGTTGGAAACAGCTCTCCCACCAGCAGGCTGGTCTTGGCTCTGGAAAACAAAGCCCGGGGTAATATGTGCTCTACAAAACTTGTGAGTTTATTTTCTCAGACTTCAGGTGGGCTTCAGGTGATAGTCTGCCTTTCACAGCTATTCTGAAGAGACACTCACAGAATATACCCCACTCCTCTGTTACATTTAGAATTCTCAGATGGTGGCTAGGGTTTACTATTCTAGGAATCTAGGATTTACTATTCTCATTACCTTAAATTAGCCACATGGTTACTGCAAATTAAAGAAAGGAGGAAAATATAAAGTCACACTGGTGGAGTAAGGAATAAAAATGAAGATGAATCCAACACCATTTTAATCTACTATATCCAGAGCTTTTTCATTCGGTCTTCAAGCTTCTTTAAATTAACTTCACCTACTTTTCTCTATGCTCTCAAGTGCATCCTCCCTCTGTACACCAAGTCTCTGTTCTCAGCATAAGCTGGGTGGTTACATGCAACTGGGGGAGTGCTTGCATCAGCGTGTGTGTCCACGTAATGAATGTCAGTTGAATGACAGTCTTCTTACGAAACACTCTGGCACTTACGCTTTTCATGCAGTTATTTCCTCAAAGTCACACATCATGGCAGAGTAGAAATGACCCTCGTTGACCTTCAAATTGTGCAAAGCCTAGTGCTTTTGTTACTCATTATGTCATTTAAAACAGCAAGTGCTGCCCTAGGATTTTTCTTAAGTTCCTTCTCTGATACTTAGTTCAGAATGTATGACGTTCTAATGTAATCATTTAATTTCTTTAACAGATTTCACATTACAGCACTATATTTATTAATTAATATACCTCTTGGAGTTTTGAGGACTAGACTTTAAATCAGCCACTTAAAAATAAAAGTATTTCTTCCCATATCCTCCTTACTCAGAGAAAGGAAATACTCAGAATTACCTATTGGTATAAACATTTTCATGTAAGTAGACATGCTTTTCCTATTATTCATTCTGCACTTAAACTGTTTGCTTTTAGATACACATGCAAAACATCTAAGGACTTTCTAAATTATAGCAATATACATAGTTTATTTAGGAATTAAATATCCATACTGCAATTGAATGAATTTTGTAATATTTATACTTAAGTTGTTTGCTATGACAATATCCAAAACCCAATGCTTATGAAAGCTCATTCAAATGTATATTGCTTTTGTGACTTGGGGGTACTACTTTTACTGTAGTTATCTAATATTTTTCTTTAAATAGACTTGAAATATTATACTAACCATTATACTATGTTATCAATGTGATCTGGGAAATATAAAAATTTTGTTTTGTTTTGGTTAGAAAGTTTTCTTACCCATTCAGATAAACTGAAGCCATGTTGTTTTCTTATAAAACTTTCTTATTGTAAACTATAATTGTGAAAAAATGAAACTGAAAATCCACTCTCTCAGCTGGCTTCCTTCAAATTTCTGAGAAAGTCAACATATTTCTCCAGAAAACTGAAGCTATCAATGATAATTTCTTTATATTTTGAGAGTGGAGAACAGAAGAAACAAACATTTCCCAAGGAAAACTTATGCTTTTAATTTTGATCTCTGTATATTCTTGAGAATCGAGACTAGACTAAAAGAATCCAGAAGCCATGCTATTTATTTCCACAAACGGTGTTACAAAGTCAGTTTCTTTTTGTTTGCTTAAGTCTTTTAAAAAAACACTTATTAAACTGTGTATTCCAGGAAAGGGAAGGGCAATTTTATTTTTCAGCATGTATCAGGACTCAACTATTTTCAGCATGTATCAGGATTTTTTTTCAAACATGAATTCAAAATAACTTGAATAGAAACCTACTCAGATTTTATACATAGGCAGAGAGAAACTTAGGAAACCAAACAAATAATTATCACAGCTGATCTAGAATAGAAAGTTTTGGCAGAAACAGATTTAACAACAACAAATGTAGTGGTGAAAAGAGCAAAAAGAGAAAAGGGAGGTAAGGAGGGAAAAGAGAAAGATGTGGAAGGGAGCAAGGAAGAAAGGAAGGAAGGAAAAAAGGAAGAAAGGAAGGAAGAAGGAAGGAAGGAAAGACAGTGGAAGGTTGGGGAGGGAAGGAAAGAATGAAGGTGCTCATTTATACTATTCATATATAGGATACCAGTTAGCAATGAATTCTGCATTCATGCTCTTGGGGAATCTATACTGAGGAAAACAATTTTTTCTATTACATTCCCATAGCTTCACTTACCTGTCTTAATCATTGTAAAACTTACATTCAAACTTAAACATAATCATTTTATTTCTTTGAATTTTAGTATTATTTTGCAGTGAATTTTGCATTTCATTTTTCTCCCTATTTTCATTTATTTTGCCAATTTTTGAAATGTGTTTTTTTTACAAAACACTTAAAATTTATTAATATTCATATAAAAAACAAATTATTTCTCCATCCCCCATATCTCATGTTGAAGAGTCATGAATAGTTAAAATTTTTCAAAACAACAAACCTTTCAGTTATCGAAGAGTTATATTCCATAAATATGTACGCACTTGTAAACCCTTGTTTCATACTAATGCCAGGTGTACAAGGCAAGAATTTATTTTGTTTATTTTCATAACTCCCAGCAGAATACCTTCCTAGGGATAAGGTCACCCAAAAAACAGTTGCTGAATTGATAAGCGGGACTATGGATGAATTAACAGAATTTCTTACATTAAAATATGGTAGATTTATAAAATGCTAATGATTTATTAAACTTTAATTAAAAAGAGATATTTTAAATTTCAAGTAACAGACAAAAAAGAAACAGAAGAGGCTTTTCATATTTTATTAGAGATTTAGCACTTTTCTTTCTAAATAGCCAGGTTAAATCCTGGGAAATATATTTGCACAACTTAATTTTTTTTTTTTTTTTTTTTTTTTTT